AATCTTGTATGTTATAAGCCTCTATATTAAACTGGTGGATTTAAATCACATGGTGACTAATAAGCCATAGACCTACAGACTAGTTCTGCTCTCATTAAGCAGTGTGTGAGATATTTTCTACAAAAATCACGTGTCTAGTTGGGAGTAGGTAAACAGATAGGATAGTCTGGGAGGACTGGACAAATAATTATTATTATATAAGGACTGAACTGATATTGCAGTGGTGATAGCAAGGCAGATCTCATTCATATACATATATACACACACGTATGTGTATGTATGTATATACATGTGTATGCATGTGTGTATCCTCCTGTGTGTATATATGGTCATCAGTGAAGTAGAGGCAATAGAAGAAGATAGGGCTTAATTAACAGGTCTGTTCCTTTCACAAAAAAGTCCACAATAATCCAATTTTGTAATGAACATAAAATCTAGCTAAGCCATGAAATAGAAATCCAAATATTAGATCAAACTGAAATAATTTCTCTAAAGACACTGACGGTGCATGAACAGTTCTTTGCGATGACTGTTGCTGGAAGGATTCTTAGCTGGGTTTTATGGGGGAATCCTCCCTCCTGCTCATATGCTGTTCTCATTCTTCACATTATTACAAGTCTTTAATCCTGGGCACCTTTCACCTAAGTCACATGAATATAAAATGAAAAGGAAAAAGAGCACAGGCTTTTGTTTTCTGAATCAGAAATATATTTTTTTTTAAAGTTAATTAAATATTTTCTCAAATGAAGTAAGTAGAAGAGGTCTCTGGGTCACAAATGGGTCACAGTTCTGGGAATCCAAAATTGCATCTCTGGCAAAGGTCCCTATATGAGAGTAACTCGGGTACATTTTACTCACTCCTTGCTAGCAATCTGTTGCCTCCAATGTAGACTGTATGCTGTACTTTCATACTGAATGAACACTGGATATTGAATACTGAAAAGTGATGAATGGCTAATACCAGACTTTCCTCTTTCTCTAGTTGCAAGAGAAACATCCATTAAAGAACCCCTATTTGCCATTAGGGTATTAAGCTGGGAAATGAGGCTTGTCAGCAAAGAGACATTCAGAAAACTCAATGTGTACCAGCCTACAGTATGACTGAAAGCCTATTAGCCCTCGGGTAGGTGTTCTTATTTGGGATTAAAATAGCAGTAGTTCTTGCGACATAACCCCTTCAAGTAGCAACTGATGTTAAACTTTGCAGCGGAGGTAGTTGTTCAGGCACACAGGCTTAAAGCAATGGTCCGCTCTAATTAATTAAACAGAACTGGCCACATACTTTAATTTGGAAGTACCATCACTTTTAATTGCAGGTAGTGTCATCCATCAGGCCTTGCAGTCACTCCTGAGGGGCATAACACTGCTTTATCAAGCAGGAGGAATGAGCTCAGCTGCTCTACATGCAGGCATCACCCTCAGTGCATTCCCATGGCTTCCCTGGGTCCCCAGAAAGGCTGGACCCTCTCTCTGGGACTGCAGAGAGATTTCCTAGAATGGCTCAGTTTACTGAATTGCACAGAAGCCTGGGGGAAAGTTCATAGCTGTGTCAGTGCTCTGCAGAGTTCAGTTAAGAAAAATGAGGGTCCTTCTCCTTGGTTCTTGCAGAGGAAAGTGCCCAGCTGGTGTATATGCACCCAGCTGCAGCAGACCACTTGAGCCTGAGGTGGGTGCTGGGCTGGTCGGGGAGGGGGAGCACAAGTGTCCCTCTACTCAACCTCTCTGAGCAGCAGCTGACCATGCTGGGTTTGTTGATTGTGTTTTAGAGAGCCTGGGCCTTTCAGCAAGCAGCCGGGCACAGAGGTGCTACCACAGGGGCACCATGCTTTGGTCCCCTGTAAAAGTCTACCAGTAAGCCCCCTCTTTGCCGTGACAGTTATCTGAAGCAGCACAGTGGGTATATGAAAGTGCACCGTGATTTAGACTGTTTTTTCATTGCTGCAGCTGATCACAAAAGGCAACAGGGAGCCTGGCTCTCAGTGTAACAACCTCGCTGCAGCACTTGCTTTCTGCTGACTCTGATTTGCATGAGAAACAAACACTGAGCACTGTGGGGTTTTGGTACCATGCTATAAATATAACCTTCACTCAACTCAAAGTACTTTGTTTTGTTATTTCTCCTTCAAAGCATCTGCTCTTTCCTATTGATGCCAAATGGATTAATTGTATATAGCAACCAATGAATAAATAAATAACAATAAACTCCTTTCATCAGAACAGTATAGCCTTTTATCTTTCATCTACCACCAGAAAACAGGGAAGAAAAAGGCCTAGCTCCCTAACAAACACTGAAAAAGCCCTTCTTTTCCTGAAAGCTAGTTTTGATCAGTTTATCTAATAATTTACCAAGGTTACTAAGTACATTGATTATAAACAGATTCTCCACACTTAATCTATCACTATTCACATTCAAACCTCTCTTGCTGATGATTTAATAAAGTAACAGAACAATCCAGCAGTGATTATACTTAGCTGTGTCACATAATTTATTTTAAATGCAAATTTCACAGTAAAAATACAAATAAACAATCCATGAAATTTTCTGTCACTTCCATCAAATCAGACATAGATTAGCAAAAATATATATGTGTTGGGGGGGGGGCAAATAGTGTTATCTAATTCATTAGTCTGGAGTGATATTGGGTTAATGTTGATTGTGAAAGGTATTTTGACTTTTCCTAGCTTCTGGTTTATGTCTTCTGTAACACATCAGGGTAATTCATGACTGGGACTGTAAAAGGAAAGGATCAACTACTGTGCATTCACCTCCAGACAGTGAGCCATCAGAATGCTTTCTGTAGCTACCAAGAAAAAGTTATCTATTCCAGGAATCAAAATGACAGGTTATCGTAACAGTAAAGACCGATTTCTAAAGACACAGTTATGCCAAAATGTATACACAGATACGCATGGGAGAACTTGGCTGAATACAAAATCTGAAACACTCAAAAATGAAGTCTGTGTCTTCTGTTAAAATGTTACATCATTACTTCAATTTTCTTCTGTAAGATACAGCAAAATGGTGTTGTGAGACACGTATTATATTTCTGGAGGCACTTCAAGTTTGAGTAGATAATGCAAGTATTTATTGTGTGTTGAGATTCAGAAAAGGCAGTTTGGTTAGATCAAAACTGTGGTTCTTCCTACTTGCTATGAGTTTGATCTCACACAATGCCAGTCCTAGTGAGCCCTGGTCCAGCAAAGCCGCTATGAAAGTACCAGCTGGGTGGGACTCAGACCACATCCAAGGCATTTCTATCTGAACTATCATCTGGATTCTCCTGACAGTTAATGGAGGAAGGCGTATTTCCAGTGTGGAATTCGTATTGGTGTATGGTAGACAGTGCTAGACAAATTTCTCATATGTGAATAGCTACAATGTAAATTTGTAATTCAGACCCTTCTGTCCTGGAGGCAAAGGATGTGGTTACCTAGTGTAGTAGAAGGCAGAGCCCTCAGCCTCGCACGGCTGAGCCACGTCTGTGTGCAGTCACATAAGCGGGACTTGCTTCTTGGCACTACTTGAGTGTTGTCAGTGTATCCGGAGGACACCTGTGTTAGCACCAGAACAAAAGTACTAACCAGTCAACATAGGCCTATTTTAAAAGTTTTTCATGCTGTCTCTGCATAGAAATAAAGAATTCATGTGAGTCAACGTAGACATTTGGTTTCTTTTTTACACTTTAAGCTTAACTACAGCGGATGTATCATTAAAGGAGTGTGGTTGGAGTTTTAATATTTCAATGTTTTAATATCAGACCCTGTGTGATAAGTTTATAGGCAAAAAATTTCTCATCCAAGATATTCAGTTAATGCTGATTTGAATACAAGATTTTTGAAATAATATACAGGTTCTGAATGTACAGTTCTCACGAAAGAAAAAGCATTTAAGGGTTTAAGTATCATAGTTTGAAAATCTTACTTTTGGAGAGTACCAGGATTGTTTAATGAGGCATTCACAAATGGGGAAATTGATACTTTGCTGTATAATTTATTTGCAATTAATTTTAATCAGTACGCATCTGATATTTTCTGCACAGATATAAATCCTGAAAACCCAACAAATATATTAGCAACTTTGCTTGAAAATCTGGAACAGGCTGTAACAATTTCAAATACTGAAACATAAATGGTGTACCTACATACTGATTCAAATATTGCAAGTAAAAATATATTATTTACTGTAAGTTTCTATTTCCAAGTATCTGGGATAATTAAATACAAGTCTAATGGCCCAGAAAATGCATTCATTTTTAAACACTGGTATGGAAATAGAAAGAAAACAGACTTTAGCAGGGAAAACATTTCTTGCTGAGGACAAATAGATAAGGAAAAAGGTAGAGATCTCCAAAATAGGAAAGCCGTGATAAGAGTAAATGTTATTTTGCTCTCTGCTTCTACATATAATCATCTCCTGTTAACACTTTGTATGTTCATTCATGCTTACAGAGGGATATGTATTTAAATCACGTACGAATGCATCAGGTGATAGTTTATTTTTTAATGTCTTCAAATCCCTGGACTGGCTCCCTCTCGTGGTTAACATCAGCTTTTTTTGGGAAAAAGTGGGAGAGCATAATTCAGAGGCAATAAATAACCAATGGAGGGGGATGAGGGTAAGAGACTAATAGGAAACAAGTAAGTGGGAATCTAATAATTATAATAAACATAACCTTATAAAAATAACTAGATTTCAGTTACGGAGGATTTTCAGAGGATAAATGTGAAAAGTATTAATGCTGTTACTCTGTAACTTGTTGCAATGAGTTCCATGGGCAACACAGGGGGACGAGATTTCAGCAAGTTCAAGGCAACGATGTACTCGGAAAACACATTTTGACAAGCTAACAATCTCAATATTTTAGCTTTTAAGCTAAGCAAAATGTAACAAATTAAGAACTGTCATGTACAATCAAGTTACTCTGTGACTGTCTTACAGAATTTCTTCTATTTTCCTCTGAAGGTCGAGTACTGCGGGCTAGACTGGTGGGCCTTGAGTCTAGTCCAAAATTATAGCTCATAGGACACAAATTAAACTTTTAATTTCAGCTTAAGTTTCATGATCATGTGCAAGGGGAAGGACAGGCAGATCCTTTCAAATAAGTGTTTTTAAAAAGCCTATTCACCTTTTAATGAGACACAAGGTGTTCTCAGGTTTTTTTTACATGATTTTATCATGTAAAATAGGAATTAATGTTATATATGTTTGTGTTGCCTTTTGCTCACTGTCTTCTAAAACACCGTTATGTTGGTTCTTTGCAGCTCCTGTTATTTCTATGCCACCTCAGGATGTCCAGAATTTCACAGGCAATGATGTCATTTTTGGCTGTGAGGTGTCAGCCTATCCTATGCCACACCTTGAATGGAAAAAAAAGGGGAATAAAATGTTTCTGCCAGGAGATGATGCCCACATCTCAGTACAGGTAAAACTTGAGTCTTCCACATCGTACTGTTTGGGATGAGGTGTAGGGGGATTAATCAGTGAATTCCTCCTACAGGATACAATACTGTTGCAATAAATAGATTTCCAATAGGGGCCCTCTAACTACATAAAGAATTCTGATTTCAGTCAGTACAAGGATCACTATTATGACAGCCCAAGCACAAGAAATAACTGGGAGGGTATCAGCTGTCCCGCTTCAGGGAAAGAAAAGATGGAAGATCTCCTTATGTAGGTATGATTCTGGAAAAAACGAATGAACATATAAATGGAACCATTTAGCCTACTACCTAAAAGAAGGTGCATTCTGGGAAGGATGGCTGCTGGCAACTATTTTTCTACTCATGATGCAGAAGCACAATTCTAGTAGGTATCTAAAATTCTCCTTTGCAAGATGCTGTTTCTGGATACTTGCCATTTGGGTTCAATCCCTGAGGCTTTCAAAGAAAAGCAAAGAAACTTACTCATTTTATGGAGGACACTGTGTTTTAATCTGAGGAGAAAGACTAGAATGGCATTAGTATAGTCTTGAAGCAAATCTAGAAACAGCCTGAAAGTTTGAGCTAAAGTTAAATAAATCAAAATGCTTATTCTTTTAAATGGAAATAACATTTTGGGGACGTGAGCTAACGAAGCCAGATGTACAGGCGGACTGCAGTAAGGCTGAAGCCTGCATCCATATGCCTTCTCCAATGGATAAAGAATATGAACAGAGACTATACAGAAAAATACATGGAAAAATCTAGTTTTCTGGATACACAATCCAAAAATGAGAAGATCCGATGGACATGGGGCATAACCTGAATAAAAAGGTAGACAGATAAAACTATCTGAAGTACCAAAAGTACTGAAGAGTCTAAGTTATTTAGAAATGTTTCCAGAGACAGCATAAACACAAGTGAGATTAGCAAACTTAAAAGCTGCCCAGAAAAAATGGTGTCAGGAGCCACATCCATATGCTGGCCAGCTCAGAGGCTAAACTGAACCCTGTTAACTTACTTCATTAATAGAGTCAGCATGAGAGCATCTCTGTTAACATTAGTTAATGGTTTTGTGTTATTTGTTTGTAAAAGAAAGCTCACCCCATTAAAAGGCTCTGGCCTGACTAAGTTGAAACTGACTGTGATGGAAGTGTGAAATGGTATGTCATGCCAATCCACTAAAACCTGGATGCCAAGTGTCAGTTTGGTCAGGCCCCTCGGCCCTGAAAAACTCACCCAGACCTTCACTCTCACCCTGAAGAAATTTATGAGCTTGAGAACAGGTGGCAATGCTTTGAAGCAGCGGAAAGAAGTGGTGCTGGGACAAGAGACAGGAGGAACGCTGGGAAGCAAAAGCATCAAAAGGACCAGGAACCAGAGCACCATGAAGAGCAGTGAGGTTTAAAGAGCAGAGCAGGGAAAGCATGAACTTGGAGGCACAGAGACAACAGGGTGTTAACAGATAAGGCAGTGGAATCCAAGAAAATCAAAGCATGATGGCAATAAACAAAAAAGCAAAAGATTGGAACGATGTTTAATCCAGCCACAACTATTTTGAATAATATGATAGTGTCTCCTAGCTACTTAATTTCAACTATTTCTTTCTCTTCTCAAAGGCAAGAGGTGGGCCTCAGAAGTATGGTGTTACAGGCTGGCTGCAGATTCAAGGCCTCAAAAAATCAGATGAAGGCGTTTACATCTGCCACACCAAAAATAAGTATGGTGCAACATACGCCTCTGCAAGATTGAAAGTCATTGATGGTATTTTTTTTTTTTTTATTTGGATGTGAAGAATATAGAAATGCATACAAGCAGGCTGCAAAGGGCGGGTTTGTAAGAATGCAAATGAAGGATGTGAGAAATTACCTAAAGATCTCCGTATTTTAACTTTTCCATATGCTTTTCTTTATCCTCTAACAGGAGATTAGGTCCTAGGTATTTAAAAGTCGGAAGTGCTTATGAATTCTGGGGAAAAAAATACTTTTATGTTAATATTGTAATGTTTTGCTGCAAATTACACCAGCTTCCAGAAAACAGAAAGATGTGGATTATAGCCATACAGCTGAGACCCATATTATTTCACTATCCTTATCCTACAGAAGTCCTTTGATGTTTGTAGGAGCTCTGCACCCAGAACAACAGCTGCTGTAGCTGAGGGAATCTTTGAACCACAGCAGTTCTGCTTAGCTGTTTATTTTTCAAAAAGTTGGGAAGGAAACAGTTGTTGCTCCTTAATGAGAGTGTTTGGAAAGATCTAAGAAATAGCTTTACTATTGTTTTGCATTGGGCCCAGTCCTGCAGAATAACATCCTTCTTCCTCCAAGGAGAACTGTGTTTCCGGGCAAATGCAGGATAAAGATGCATTGTCTTGTATTTCCCTCCTGGTCTAGTGGAGTTTGTCACTGATCTAGTCTGTCACTGACCTTGTCTCAGCAAGTGGTTTTCAAAGCTTTATTGGCTCTGGTCATATTTTCAGGTGCATAGGATCTGCAGAGGACTGAACGCATAGTCCACTAGTATTGGGAATTAAATGTATTTTCAACACCTTAAAATGTGAATGAGACATAAATTTGCTCATACACTATGAGCTTTGATGGTATGAGGTCAAGTCATCGGATAAAAGCCCCCCCCTTTTAATAGATGACTTAACAAGGATTCAGAAACACTGAGCTTGCTGTACAGATCCAAACCCATACTTTCCTCTTCATTCCTATCTACAACTAATTTAATCTGGATTCAATTATGTCTTGCAGGCTCATCTCCTGCATTTGCATATACTGCTGGCAGTAGAAGTGCAAGCTACAGCATTGAATATGGGGACTATTATGACCATTCTGATGATGAAGATGATGAAGAATATGAATCTGGGGACTATGAAAATTGAAACAACTCTGAATAATAATTTGTATATATTTGTTGTCCAATACCTTTCACACTGTTATATTTACTAGTAGTCTCTATGCTGTAAACGGCTCCTCTGACAACACACATATTCACTTGTGTATCCACCTTCCTGAAATTCAACTTTGGCTGAAGTATATCATGCTACTTATCAGAAATAAGAACAGTTGTAAATTCATACATTTAGTCTGTTAAATAAAATTCTTAAACATGCACCTTTCTACTAAGTATACTGAAGGGATCAAATTTGATATTAATTTTTAAAATGTAAATTATAATTTCTTTCATTCTAATTTGTCTACCAAAAATGTCCATAGTTAAACAAAATTTGTACCTTGTATCAATTTCCTTTTTTCTATAATGTACTAAGAAATACCAAGAGATTGTTCACATGGCAACAAGCCTAAGTATGAAGGTTGCAAAAGAGTCTTTGATCTCCTTAGTTCATATTTTCTCATAAGTTTCAGCAAGATTTTCCTTCTCATTTGAAATTTTCCATGGTTAGTCTCATCAAGGGCAAATTATCTGTCTTTTAGGGGGTTGTTTACTTTTAATAGATACATGAAGCAATCACAGTCTAAAGCAAGTAAGTGCTGTTTTACTAGCAATACTCAAAAAAATCCCCAAAACACCACCCAACCAGGAAAAGATTTCTTGTGCATTCAAACACATGACCACACCTTTTGACTTCTTTTTATAACAGTTCTTACACTATTCCCGACAGTCTTGGCTCATTCCCAATGGTGCAAGATTTGGGATCGTTATTTTCACTCTGAACAGCATCATGTTTGGTGCGAACTACTGCAGTTTAAAGGTGGTGGCTGTTCTGTAGCTCAGTGCCTACCCTTCAAACACACAGAGAACTGTACAATGGAGCCAGGATTTGTCCTTTGTCTTGGATTGTCCAAGACTTGCTCCTATATGTGACCCACCTATACTATGCCCACCTAAGGTGCATTCAGCATTGCCACACTTCTGAAATGGCAGACGGAAAAGCAGGCATCATTTTCTTTCTGAAAACCACCAAAACACATGCACATTTTTCAAACTGTCCCCACCACTTCTTGATCAGTATGAACCAGACAGCAAACAAAATGCAATTCAAAACCACAAGACCTCCAAGTGTATAGTGATCACTCGAAAAATTTCTCCAGTTGCTTTTGTTAACTAATTACAATGAAGGCTGGGTCTGAATTAATGGGTGATGGAAGATACGAAACTATGAAAATCACTTTTGGGAGGCAGTTACACCTATTGGTTCCCATTGGCTGAGGACAGATGAATAGCAGTAAATTACCGAACGACATTAAAGACTAAGAAAGCAAGAGTTTACGCATCTGAATGTAAAGTCTCACTATTTGCAGTCGTCCTTATCCAATGCTCGAAAACATGTAGTGATTACTGCACACACTGATGTAACTTTAAATTAATGGTGTTAAGGAAGTTTTAAGGGTAATCTTACTGTACTATGTAGATTTTTTAACATATATACAGTGCATCGCAAACTCCTCCTTTAATGTTGTGCTGTTTTGTGCTTTTTTTGCCATTAGGCAGATTTTTCCTTTCAATTTGAATTACATTAAGAGATTGGCTATAGACTGTGTTTGCCCTGAGGTATTATTGATCTTTGTCCAGGTAGCAAACAAGCAAAGAATAATTTATTTTGTTTCAGACTTCCTGGAGTATTGTCAACTTATAAGTAGAAAGCATGCCACTATGTCATTGAAAAGATTAATTAGTTTTAATTAGGAGTATCAAATAGCTTCATATTTAACTACTGATGTTGTTATGGGCTCTTCCTAGTCTTCTTAGTGATACGTCTAGCATTTTTTTTGCTTATCCACTATATATAAATTCAAACATTAAATTGTCTAGTAGAAATCACTGAAATTTTCTTTTAAATGGGTATTTCTTATTCAAGATCAATTGTGATCTGCATTGCAAATGAATGAATTAGATTACTAAACCGATCACATAATTGTGGCAATACATACTGGCAGACTAGTACGTGGCGCAGAAAATAATCTTGAAATCATTAGCCATAGAAATAAAGCAGAATTCTTCAGAGCCCTTTGCTGTTGTTAATGTAAAATGAAAAACAGAAAGAGAAGAATGTTTGAATGAGAAAATGTTTAGCAGAACCATATCAAATACCAGACTGTGACTGTTTGGCCTGATGGACTATGTCTATTTAAAAAAGCTAACCTTCCCAGAACAAAGGATTCTACATTAAATGTATTGCACTTGTTTCTGTTATGTATTTTTTAATAGATATTTAACAATTTGTTGTAAATTATCAGCCATTCCTTTTAGTAAGAAAACTGCATGCTAGGAAAAATCCTAATGTGCAAAAAAAGAAGGAATGCTGATACCCTGAACACTTGCTAGTTCTTTTTTTTGGGGGGGACTGAAATGGCTGGGTTTATTTATATACTTTAATCAAGTCACTTAAAATTAAATTAAAAAAAAGCATGGGAAAGATTCGGCCCTCTCTAAGCAGCATGGCAAATGGATGGATCTAATTGTGAATGCATTGCCTGTAGCAACAGATCTATTCACATAATCCAAAGTAACAGCAAATTCAGAAAGCTGGTTTAGCAGAAAATGAGATAGACTTGAGCTGGAAACTGTATGTTAATATTGCGGGGAGGTCTCAGCACTGTATTTTGTGAGGCAGACCTAAAACACTTCTTTAATTCAGCTTCCACTGAACACCGCAAGGAATTTGTTGTTGCCTTTCATGGAAGCAAGTCTGTATTTTACAGCACAATTTCCTCCTGTCGGTGCCCGTCACATGAGCATCTTCACCGTGTTATTTGGGACATGTAAACATAAAGGAATTGTATAAAATTCCTGAAATAAATTACACTCCTCAATGTGGCTTTGTCCTTTGGGCTAGGACTCTGACATAGTCTGGGGCAGTTTCACAATCTAACAGTCTTACTTGCTGTGTTACATGTCAGGACTTTTGGCAGGTATTAGTCTAGGAATCCGTTAATTCTTTAGCTAGACCAACTTTCTTCCCCTTAAAATAAGCAGGCTATAGTTGACAGAAATCGGATACAGAAATGCGATTGCCTGCATCTGCGAGATTAAATGATTCAATTGATGATTAAAGAAGATACAAATAGTCACATGGCTGCGCTGTGCAGCTGAGCATACAGCAGAGCCTGTGCTCCCCGCTCACCTCCTGGTACAAGCTCTGCGCTCTCAACTTCGGTCCATGCTCATCTGTTGACACAGAAAGGAGACCCAGGCCAGAAGGGAGAGGCTGTTCCTGGCTAAGCTCATGCTTAGCTACCTATGCTGTCATAGATTATGCTCAGTTCTTCAACATTCCACTTCTTCACTCATTAACCTGATTTCTGCATGTCTCTGCATAGCTTAGCGGCACAGCCTAAGCAATGGCCCATCACCTGGAGCCGCATACAGTCATTGCTTAGCTGATGCTTTCCTCACAGGGTCAAGGTCTTTGAAGGATATGCGAGAGCTTCTTCTTACCTTTTTTGACCTGTATTGACCAGCCGCTTCCGGCTCTTCAAACAGTTTATACTTGCATTGCACCAGGAAGTCTCCCACAGTTTCCACATCATAATTTATGGCTGACTTTTCTTACCCTCAAGTCACTGATTCATTCCCTGTTCCTCATTCCACATTTTCTTCGGGGCTACCAGGCTTCACATGGGAATTTTTGCAATGTGGATGATGGAGCAGTGGGGAAACATGAATAATTCTACACAAAATGCTCAGACCCTGTTAACCAGATTAAAAATCACCACATCCAATTGTGGCATTCAGAGCAGAGGAGGACAAGGCAAAAATTCTTCCGTCTTAAAACATCCAACAGCAGCGTGCCCAGCAAAAATGTCAAGCTTTTTGGGAGCAATATTCATAAATGCTGTCAGTTGGCTACAGCAGCAGTCCTTGCTGCCTCCCCTCTATCACACTTTGTTGTTCCTCAGTCCTTCTTCCTCCCTGTGCCAGACTCCAGAAGTGTCTCGTGAAGCCTAAACTAATTCACGTTGCTGCGTTTCACCCTGGGCTCAGTTTGGCTCCATGCTGTACAGTACCACTGGTACCTTTAGCAGGACAAGGAATACAGAGATGCTTCTCTTGCTTTGGCCTTTCTTAAATTTCTTCATTAGTGACAAAAGCTTGTTGCTCTCTGGTCGCATACGATGCAATGTTGTATGTGCACGTGGTCTGTGACAGGCTCTGTCACCTACACCATACAACTTCACCCGTTTCTGCCCAAGACAGCAGCTCACATACTTACAGCGTCACTTTTTAGGAAAAAGACCACTCTCGATCTAGCGACAGGGAATGTACTATCCTTTGGTGCGTGTTATCCTAGTGGATGATTGCCAGTATTGCTTGTTTCTGTTCTGAATTTGTTCAGCTTCAGTTTATAGTGGTTAGAATCAATTACACCTTTTCCTCTGGTTAAGAAGCTGCATTGAAACAGGTTTTTCCCTTGCAGATAGTTGTAGACATTGTTCCAGTCACTTGATGTCCTTAACTTGGACAATCTTTGTATCAACCATCTTCTGTCTCAACTGACATGGCGAGTTTTCCTCACTAACCCTGAATTATTTCTTTACCTCTAGAATGCAGTACTTAAGAAGTAAAATGTTAATTTAACTGTTTGCTGTCGCAGACTCCACCTGTTACCTGTACCAGTGGTTAGCAACAATGGGCTTCATCTCATCCAACTGCAGACTGAGACAACTCTATACTCTAAATTTAATTTCTTCAATCCTTTATAGGCACCTGCAGAGGGGGATTCCCCCCTTTCAGGGCTAACTGAGCAATCTGTCCCTTCGGATGCAGCTGTAACCACCTGAGCACTATCTCTTGGGCCTTCTGGATTGAAGCAGCATTCTTGGGTTTTTTTCCTCTCTCAGCAACCTTCTGGCACTTTCCAGAGCAGAATGAACTCCCAGCTGCTGCCCTGGTCTGAAAACCACCTCAGCACCACAGGCTTTAGTTTGGATCTTTTAAGAAGCACAGGAAGGGCAGAATCATGCCAGCTTGGCCCATGTTTGACTATTGACTTACTTACACAAAATTAATGCTACGTTGAATTACATCCACACAACTTGTGAAGCTCTGGCTGTAAAATGGGAAAATTCTTACAACCACGCATGGACTGTGTGACCTGAAGCTCCCACGTTCACTGAGGAAAGCTTTACTTTTGCTGGTGCCGT